CAGTGTCAGGGCCCCTGGGAGGGATTCAGAATCCAAAGAAACCCCAAATCCTACCGAGGGACTCTTCCAAAGGAAGAAAGCCATTCTTGTCATAAAAAGCTTAAAAAGCTGTTAAAAGTTCTAGGACAGCAATACTGGGATTCCCAGGAAACTTAGTAGTGTCTCGGTTCCATTTCAGTGTATCTTTAGTCCCTCAATGAGCAGCTTGGAGAACTTCCCCCGGGATTTGGAGGCTGAGCAGGGTTTGCTTTGGATTGCCTGGCACCTCTGGCCCCAGCTGGTGCAAACACAACTTGGGCCAATGATCTGTGCCCCGTGTGTCCCTGTGGGCAGTGCCAGGCTGGGGACAGGCACACGCAGCTGGCAGCACTCTCTGCCCCAAACAGCCTTGGGGGGCAGCGCAGCCCCCCCAAGGGGGGGGATCGAGGGGGGCTGGAGGCGGCGGCCCAGGAAAGGCCCCCCGCTCCCCCCGGGGCAGCTCCACAGCCCCCCTGCCCTCTCTGCCACGGGGGCCCCGCTGCTCCCCCGGCTGGCACAGAGCCCCCTGCCCATGGCTGGCAAATCAGGGCCAGGGCTCGGCCTCGCTGCAGCCGCCCCACACGGGAGCAACTCAGGGCTCAGACCAACATTTCCCTGCTTGGCCACTGCACAGACCCTCAGTTCACCTCAACACATTCCTTCTCTTCCCAGCACATTCCCTGAACTTTAACACCCCCAGTTTTCTCTGTCTCTCACCTCAGGTTACCTCAATGGGTTCATTCCCTGCCCTGGAGAGAATCAACCTCCTTTTTAACCCCCAAACTTTCCCCTTCCAGCCCACTCCTGATTACCTCTTCTTGAACACAAAAGAGTCATTCCCTCCCCTAGAGATTACCTCCTTTTTAACCCCCAGAGTCTTCCCTACCTGCACACTCCTGATTACCTCTTTTGGACCTCCAAATATTCATTCTCTGCCCTGCAGATTTGCTCAAGCTTCACCCGCAGAAATTCCTCTGCCTCTCCCCTCCTGACTTCCTCACTTTCTTCCAAAATATTCCTTCTCTGCTGCACATTGCCACAGATTTGACCCCCACAATTTTCCCTACAAGTCCACCACTGAGTACCTCATGTTCATCTCTCAATATTCATCCTCTACCATGCAGATTACCTCAGATATTTCCCCCCCAATTTTCCCTACGAGTCCACAACTGATTACCCCAGTTTACCTCAGGATGTACATTCTCTGCTCCACGTGACCTCAAATTTGACAAACAGAATTTTTCCCTACCTGCCCAACACTGACTGCCTCACTTTACCCCGAGGTACTCATTCTCTCTGCTACACATTTTACTCCCAAAATTCTCCTTACCTACCTACATGTAATCACCTGTTCTGTACAAATACATGTTCATTCTCTACCCTGTGGGCTACCTCAAGTTTACCCTAAAACACTCCCCAGCTGTCCACCACTGAGTACCTCATTTATCCTTCAAAATATTCACTCTCTGCCCTGGACGTTCCCTCAAGTTTTACCCCCAAAGGTTTCCCCCCGTCCTGCCCACTGCTGACTGCCTCAGTGTCCATCAGGAGGTACATCCTCTCTGCTACAGGTGACCTGAAATTTTACAAACACAAATTTTCCCTACCTGCCCACCACTGACTGCCTCACTTTATCTCTAAATGGTCATTCTGTCCTCTACAGATGACATCAACTCTTACACCCAACATTTCCCTTCCTCTACATCACCCATTTTCTCTTCCTGACGCCCCAAATTTCCATTCCATCCCTACACATTCCCTGAGTGTTTCCCTCCCAAGCAGCCTTCCCTTCTTCCCTGTTTAATAACTCACACTCCAGCCCCAGGCTCTCCACTCCCCCCTCAGTGGGACCCCTCCAAAATGCCACCTCCCTCCCCTCTGCAGCACCTCACCTTTTCCTTCAGAAACAGTCGCTGGGTCCCTTTGAAATTACCCCAAGTTGGCAGCTACAAATGTCACCTCTGTCCCTGCCATGTTATCCCAGGTTTCCCCAGCTGGGAGCTGCAAGGAATTCAGGCCAGGGAATGGACATCAGGGAACAGCTGTACATGCAAAGGCAGAAAGAGAAGATCTGTCAGCAAAAGGCACAAAGAAGGGGACAGGTTTCAGAAAACATTTCTGCAATCTAATGAAGAACTCTTTCCAGTTTCCCAGGGAGAAGAACAGGAACTCACAGCCACCAAGGCCTGACAGTCCCCTGCAGCCAGAGCTCAGCACACACCCAGAGAGGTAATTCCAGCATCTAAAAGAAAAAAAAGAGAAGAAAAAAGTGATTTATTTTGTTTTAAAGGTTTTTTAAGTTGTTCCAAGCAAAGCAAGCCTTGCTCTGGTTTCAGTTGGGTGAACAGGGAGCGCTGGGCACAGGGCACGTCATTAATGCCCAGGGGATGGGGCTTTGTGGGGGAGGGAAGAGCAGCTGATGGAGTTGCCCAGTCCAATTCCTGCCCAAGGCCTGACTGGCCCAGGACAAACCCTCTGGCAGGCAGTGGGTTTGTTCCCTCTAATGGTCAGTGCCCAAAGACAGCACTCTCTGCTCCAAAGACACTTCTGGGCTCCTTGGCAAACTGCCTCTGACACTTGGTTTTCTCCAGCAGAAATTAAGGAATTGCTCATGGCAGTTTGGAGATGAAGTTATCCCAAAGGGAAGGAAAGAACAAATATTCCTGTCAGAGCCCTTGGGATCTGCTGGGCTGAATTGGGAAGGGCCCATTATCTGCAGAGCAAATACAGGACGACCTCAAACACAAAGCCCAGAACTGTCAAGTGGGGCGTGAAAGCAGCACTGGGACAAAACTCCACTCTCCTGATTCTTTTCAGGGACTGCTCCAACCCAGCTCTGAAGCTGCCAAGCCCAAACTGTCCCCAGCGCTCTGGAACAACAGGATCTTCCCAGGGATGATGTATTGGAAACACAGCCCTCATTCTCACCCTCCACACGCTCCCAGGCTCACCCCAAATTCAGGACAAGGTGCCAAAGGCCACTCGGGCCGGGGCTCTCTCTGTCTCTATGGGCTCAGGGACTGCAGCCACCAGGGCCCTCCAGCACGGACAGCCTGGACCCAGAGCACATCCCTGGGGATTAGCAGCGTCCTGGGCATCCCTGGAGACAGAAACCATCACCCTCTGGGGACAGCACTTCCTTGCCAGCACACACAGCCTGCCACATTTAGGGGGGCAGCTCTCGGACCACAAAGCCCAGTCTGACCCAGTTCTCCTGGGCACCAACACGGACTCCACAAACCCACAGGAATGACAATCTTCTGCTGCTTTGACAAACTGCAGCCCAGCTTTGCAAACCTCAGTCCCTGCAGCTCCTGCTCTCCAGAGCCCCGTTCAGGGCTGGCTCCAGTTCCCTGGAGAACCTGCCCCAGCCCCACTCTGGGCCAGCCTGAGCAGAAGCCACTGGGCTGCACAAGGAAGAACCCTCCCCTGGCTGCTGCAGCTGGAGGGAGATCCAGCTCCCAATGGAATCCTGGCAACAGCCTCCCAGATGGTCTCTCCCCACCCCTTGGCAATGGCTCAGGATGGCAGCAGCTCCAGTGCCAGCTGGGTCCCTGCACGAGTCCTTGTCCCAGCCCTGCCACACGGACACACACGGGAGACAGCCACGGGCACACAGGCCTTGCTTGCACAATTCCTCACCCACAGCTGAGGGAAAGCCACAACATTAAGAAATACCCTGGGCTGAGAGCACTCATCACTCCAGTCCATCAGTTTGGTAGGGAACACACCCAAATTCTAACCCCACCTCTACATTTCTAACAGGTTCTCTTTGAAAGATCCTGGACAGGAACTCAGACAACAGAACCCAAACCCTGCACAAGCAATAACAGAAGGTTTGCCATGAAGAACAGGAGTTCCTTGTTTTCCTTAACACCCTGGGACTGTAGGACCCAATCTTTGCAACCAAGGGACACCAGAGATGTGATTAATACTTAAACCTCTCCCCCGTGGTTCTGCCTCAGAGAACTGGGCCAGCCCTGAGCTACTCCCAGGTGCCTGCAGTGCTTTGGGGAGGGGCAGGACGATGCCCCACTTCTGCTTGGAAACATTCCAGATGAGGAAAAGCCATTTCCCTTCTCTCTCTCTCTGACCCAGATCCAAAGCGGTCCTGTAGGACAACACGGACTATGCACGGAAGGCCCGAGTCAGTGGGGGGAAAAGCCTAAACAAACCAAACCACCCCAAATTTCAAGATAAAAACATGCTGCTTCCTTAACAGGAGCACACCAAACTCATTGAAGCCAGAGAGGAAATTACAAACAAACAAATAAACAAACAAAAGACCCCAAAAGATGCTTTGCACTGATACATTCCCTGGTTGATCATTCCAAAGGAAATTCTCCATAGATCAGAAGCAAGTACCAACACTTGCTTGTCCTCTGTTGAAAATTAATGACTTGAGGGGCTGCACATGTCCAGTGAGGGTTCAGGGGTCTGGTGGGTCCTTTATGGCTGATCCTGACCGGCCCAGGCCAAACCCAACCACCCCCATGGCTGCTCCATCCCAAACCCGGGGACAACATTCAGACAGTTTGGAAATACTCCCCTTCCCTGCTACTCCGTCCTTCCTTACACATCCAGTGCCCAGGGAGCAAATGCCAACAGCAGGAGGAGAGAAAGGTGTCCCTCTGACTTACCCCACCCCACGGGCAGCACCAGGAGCCCCCAGCCCGGCCGGCGGGGCTGCAGCCTCTTGCCTTTGCTGCTCCCAGCCCAGGGCACTTGGCAGAGCTGGGCTGCAGTCAGGGCTTTGGCCTGGCCTGGAAGAGAGGAGAACAAGGCAATTAAGTGCACTGGGCAAGTCAAAGGCTCCTGCCCTTCACCCTTCTCTTCAATTGCTCACTAGAGAGTTTTAGCCATGAAAAATCCAGGGGGGACACCAAATGAAACGTGGCCTTTTCCAGCATCTTTATTCCTCTCTACTTCAGGCACTAAAAGGAGGCTCATCTTTCTCACTGCATTCCTTGCCCCACTTGAACAGAACCTTCTTCATTCCAAACCTCCCTTGGGAGTCAGTCAATCCTCTACCATTGGACTTTGGGCAAAGGAAGAGACACCTGGGATGCTGGAGCCCAGGAAAGGAGGGAGAGGAAGCTGACAGGGAGAGGATTCAAGGCACTCCAGAACTCAGAAATATGTTCATGCCTTGCCAGCCCACCCCAATTCTCTGCCACCCACCTGAGCTGGGCAGGTGAGGCCAAGGCTCCCCTTCCTCCTGCCAATCACTGTCCCAGCACACGGATCCCCGTGCTGGGCAGCACTTGGAAAAACCTGGGAAAGGCAAAAGGAAAATGGCACTGCCTGTCAGAAAACAAGTGTCCGTGAACAAACCTTCTGGACAAATTTAATCCCATCCCTCTGCTCCAATAAACCCAGGGCAGGCAGGTCTCTCCAGCCCAGGGAGAACAGGAAGGAGAACTGCAGGAACACAGGCAGGCACAGGCAGCTCTTGGCACTGATTCCCTGCAGACCTCTCTGCACTTGGGGCTCTTGGCACTTCATTTATAAAGAAGGGGGGGACAGCAGCCCAGGAATGCCCCTCAAAAACAGGGGCCTGGGCAGCTGGAGATTAGAGAAGGGGAGTTGTGAGGGGAGACACAGAGAGAGAACAGGAACAGGGGTTGTTTGGGAACAGGCTGTGTGTCCAGCAGGGAGGGGAACTGGAAACACGGGAGGCTGGAGGAAGGCAGGGGGGGAGCACGGGCCTGCCTTGGATGGATCCTTTTTCCCTTGGCTCAGGGGCCTCAACTCCACCCTCTCTGAGAGCAGCAGGGAACTGCTGCAGGGGAAGAGTTCATTTAGGCACAAGGCAGTGATGATGCAGCCACTGGGGCAGGGGAAGAGGGGACAGGAACTGAGAGCAACTGACACAAAAATGACACAATCACCACCGAAAGGGACTTTATTGAGCTGCAACACAAACACAGTCACAGCACGCCAGGGCCAGAGGTGCCCACAGCACCACCAACACAGCAGCTGGGCTTGCAGGAACACCATCTACTCAAGTTATGGAGCCAGGGGCTGACAGTTGGCATCCATCCTAAAGATGCACTCGGGCATCAGGGCCAAGTCCTGCCCAGTCCCTGCACACTTCAGCCCCAGCAGCAGTGGCATTTTCTGCCTCTCCCTCCAATCTCATTTGGGACCCAACAGTTCAATGCTGGGGAATTTTAGCTTCATCAATGTTTTACAAAGTTGTGCTTCCTGAGAACTGGTGCATTTTTGAGTCTTCCTGACTCTTCCAGTGCTGCACTTGCCAGGATCCTTTGGGCCTGGTGTGTTGCTGACAGACAGGGCACTCCAGGAAGCAACTTCCCACCAGTCATGGAAGAATAGGAACAGCTTAAACAAAGCCAATCCAACACATGGGATACAGATTTAGGGGATACAAAAGGAAAGGAGCAAGACATCCCATCCTGACTGCCCCAGAGACAGAACTGTGGCTCAGCAGAAATCCCTCCCCCACGGCCCCCTCCCGCTCCCCCCCAGCCCACACGGCAGCCCCGGGGCAGCCGATCCCGCAGGCTCCAGCACTGGGACAATTCCTGCGGGTGCCTCCACCCCCGGGGAGGCTGCGGGGCGGCTCCAAGGGGATCCCGCTGGCCAGGCTCTGCCCAACCAAGCCGGCTTTAGGCCAGGCCTGGCACTGGGGGGCCGTGGGCACGGGCAGGTTGGCCTGAGCTCCCCGTTGGCCACCCCTGGAGCGCTGGGCAGGCGCCCCGGCGGGGCCAAGGGGAGAGGGCACGGAACAGCTGCACGCACCTTGGCTGCCTTGGCCCAGCACACACTCACTGCACCTGCAGCCTTTAGCCAGGGCCCCTGAGCACACACAGCCCTTACCCTGCTCCTCAGGGGCAGCAGCCCCGGGGCTCAATTCTCAGCCAACTTCTCATCCTTTCCTTTGGTCCTTTGAGCCCTGGGCAGGGCAGAGACACGGGAGAAGCACCTTCCTGTAATTGATCCCAGAGACAGCAACTCTGTTGTTCATAAAGTCAGTACAATAATTACTGCGATTAGTGGATGGATTAAAGTGTTCCAAAACTTTGTAGCAGGTGGTGAGAATCCTGTAAATATGTCCCACCAGTGGGGAGCAGTGAGCTGTTCTAACCTGATGCCCAAAGGTCACTAATTGACCCCTAGAGTTACTGTTTGCATTTGGTGATCAAGTCAAGTCTTCTTTCAAATTTGCAGGGCAATAATTTGCACTTACATACAAAAATCCCTGGTTTACTTACACTGAAGTGTGTTATTTTTCCAGCACGATATCAGTCGGTGCACTGCAGCAATTCAGGAGACAAAAGCCAGTTAATTTTTGCAATCCAGGATGGGAATACAGTCCTCCAGATCAGTTCATTGGTACCCATTAAGTCATTCTGTGCCTTATTTCTTTGTATTAAATATACACACTATGGCATGGACTACTTTTGCCTCCCCCCTTCGTGACTCTGGCACAGGTTATCTGCTCCTGCTTTCTCAAAGTGCCTCCCACTGACAGATTTGGCTGACCCAGCAGTGAGCCATGCATGCTCCCTCTCTTCTCCCAGTACTTGCTTTGGGGCTTTGCCCCATTTCCCCAGTGATTTGTGCTCACTGTCCAGGGGATCTACACCTGTTGCTTAAACCACAGGGCCGTTGGCAACTCCCTCACGAGGCCTCGCTCCTGCCCCAACCCCTGCTCTGGCTCTGGCTCGGATACACCATCTCCATTTCATGGGGCTGCCTTCCTGAGCATGGCCTGGCCTGTGCACCCTGGAGGAGCTTTTGACCCAAGGCCTTAGGGGGACTTCAGGCCCTCTTATCATTTGTTGTTCCCACTAAAGCCCAATAACGTACTCAGAGCCACTTCTCCAACAGGGTCTATCTTGGGCTGGCTTCCAGTAACTTCCTATTCCCAAATCCTAAGGGCACTTCCTTCCTACCTGGAACAGTTCGTTGGGATACATGCCCGGAATAAAGACAAGTGCCACAAACATTCAAACACACAAAATATCTTTATTGCAGTGAGAAGAAGAAGAAGAATAAACTTAGCAAAGAGAATCAAAAGTTCAAAAAGGATACAAATGAACTACCTTATCATGTGGCATTAAAACAAATACTAAGAACAGCATTCAATACAGTATAATATTAACTAGTAAAAAGGGACTCAAAGGGATACCAAAAAGGATCTTAACACAATATTATGGATAACTATTGACACGCTATTTGGTTAGTAAAAGGGAAAATTAAAGGGAAAATATTATGAGTACTAAATAAAGGGTGTTAAAGGAACACTAAAGGATATTTAAAGTCTTCCCTCTCGGTGGCTTCCCCTCACTAAACTCTGCCTACCCACACAGCCAGGCCAGGGCTGTCAGGATCTGCAGCAGCTGGTCGGTGCCCATCCCTTAGCGGGCGTCCCCGCGGAGCAACACAGGCTCGGTGGCAGGATGAGGATCGCTCAGCTCAGCAGTCCTGACAGCCCATTTTATCAGCTCCACATTACACCACGTAGGGCCAGGACGCAGTGTAAGGGGAGGCCTGAATGGCAGCCAAACACCGCCCGATCATTGCCTGATGGCAACAGTCTGGGCCTGCCCTACTTGTAGGGCAAGGGGCCAGCGACCCCTGCCCACATCATCTTCCTCTCACCAGCATCTTTCTCACCCCTATGGATGACCTCTACCCTTGTGTTTCAAGGGCAGAGGTATCTATCTGGCAAGATGGAGCAGAACCAAGGAAGAACTCAGCTCTCATAACGGGAGATCAGGCTGACTTGCTGAAAAGCACAATGGACCTTACAATTAGCTTGTGCCATCAAGTTCCATTGTACCATACTCCAGCCGGTTTCACAGCCTAATAGGATTTCTTTCTCACACCTCTATGCTCCATTGATCATCTAATTCAACAGTTCCCCCCTTACATTACCCTACTTCTGCCAGAGGCTCCAAGGGGCATCATTAGCACTGGCAGGAACCTTTAGTTCCCCCTCTCTGGCTCGTATTGGCCACAGGTCCGGAGCCTGTTGAATTGCTCCCTGAGCTGTTTCAAACCCTCCTGGCTGCTCATTTCCCACTCAAACTCACACTTCTGTCCTGGGACTTTATGGACGGGCCATAAAGAGGGGGGACTGTGGAGCCACCCTCGAGGGGGGGAAACGTGCCCAGGGAAAGGGAACTGCCCTCAGTGTTCCCCAGCACAAGGCAGCCCTTGGAAATATCCACTGCAATGGGACACTCAGGGACAGCAACAAGCACCTGCACAAGGCTGCTCTGGCACAGGACCAGTTTTAAGCTCAGCTTTTCTCTGGACCACTTCACTTGGTTTCCCACCTCATCCTGCAGTCAAAACTTGCTGCCCTGGCAACTTTTTAGGGTGACCATAAATTAGAGGCCTCTGCTCCAGCACCCACGAGGGCCTGAACCGTCTGACAGGATCCATTTTTCCAGGGAATTCAAAGCTCCACCTGAGGACCACGGTCTTTTCTCACCCATCCTTGTGCTGGAGCTTGGCCTCCATCTCCCTCTGCTTTCAGTTCTTTCCACGGTTACAACATTGGCAGCCCTGGCCCTGGGTGGAGCTCGGCATCCTGATCCCATCCCTCCTGGCCCCCGGAACCGCTGGCTCAGCAATGGGGGGCCCTCCATTGCCAAGGGCACGGTCCCGTCGGGGCTCACGGGGGGAGCAGGAGGTCGAAGGCTCCATCCCTCCTGCTACAACCTTCCACCACTACAGCCAACAGAGGAGCCTCTCCAGCCCTGCCTCCCAAGGCATCCTCAACAAACCCAGCCCAACTCCACAGGACAAACTGCTCCCTGTCTGCCCAGTCCAGCCTAATCCCAGAGGCTCCCAGATCATGCAGAACAACTACTCAGGAGATCAGAGACTCCAGTCCATCTCTTCCTAGCACAGGTTTGCCTGAGTTTGGCAAATAGGGAAACTGAGGAATTCCCCAATGTTTTCCCAATTTAACCCCTGTCACACCAGTCACCTTGGTCGTGAGGAGGGAAGAAAGGGACCCTCAATATGAGAATCAGCAAGCTTCGTTTATTGATCATTGTTAACAGCTTAAGATATGCTTTATAATTAGCTCATACATATTGCAAAGGTTAAGCTCATTATTGGTTCTGCTTAAATGTTGATCTCACCTCTTTACTCTCTTCCTTTGTGGACACTTAGATGTTAATTCTGTCTCTCACTCCCTTCCTTTGTTGACACAGGTGGCTTTCAGTTGCTTTTTGTTTTGCTAATCACAACGACCTGTTTACCAGCCAACTAGCAGGCACAAAGACACTGTAGCTCTAGCAGGCACAAAGACACTGTAGCTCTAGCAGGCACAAAGACACTGTAGCTCTAGCAGGCACAAAGACACTGTAGCTCTAGCAGGCACAAAGACACTGTAGCTCTGCTATCTCAGATTTTCTCACGGCCTAGGCAAGCCGTGTTCTAGAGCCAATTCCCTACACACCTTAACACTGCCAGTCCTTAATTCTCCCTCGACTGGGTTAAGGACTGAGGAAGTTGGACCTGTGTCTCACCAGGACATGTGCAAACCAAATGCTGGGGACTGGAACACACACCTTGCACTCCTGCAGCTCTTACCATTGCATTCAAGAGAAAACAGCCAATTGGACCATCACTGCTCATTTCTTAATCCCAATCCCACACTTCCTTTGCACTTGGAGCACCACTTTTAGAACCCAATTACAGCCCATTAGAGAGCTCCATGTCTAGCATGGACAGCTACACCTGGGATACTCTCAGCAATGCCTGAATCCATTGCAGGGACCTTGCTTTGAACTCCCCAGGGCCGGGCACCCCGAGGATCTCCCCGAATAATCCTTTCGGTGCGCGCTGGAGTCCTCGGGGTGCCCCAACCCGGGGGGCACCAACAGCACTGTCCCTCCAGGGGGCCCAATTTGGTCCCAAAACTTCAATGGACAGCCCAAAAGGCATTTCAGGAGCCCTTCTTTGGAACCCACCAACGGGGACGGGGAGGAAGCCACAACAAGGCCTCATTTATAAATGCAGGGGGATCTTGCCTGTGTCCCAGACTGGTCCGGGGATCTGAGGCCCTTCCCGAGAAAATCTCGGTGCCGGCGTGAAGGCCCAGAGATCCCTTGGAGCCACGGGAGAGCAGGCACAGAGTCCCTCCTGCAGGGCCAATTCTGCTGCCTGAACTCAGCTCTTCAAAGAAGCCTCTAAGACTCAGCTGGAGAGGTTTAGAAGCCAGGCAACCTTTTATTCCTATGCTCTTGAATCATTCCAGCCCACCAGGTGTCCTGGCAATCAGCTCCCAAAGGGCACACACAGGTATCTCCACTGCAGCTGATATAGCAGCATTACAGGAGGGTTCATTTTCCTTCCCTGCATTCCTAATCCCTACTCAGGACATTTTCCAACACTCATTACCATACACACCTACCCTTAGAAGGTTTCCAAGGGGCTTCACCGAGGCCCTTCGCAGGTCTGCTCTGTCTGGAGCCCTCAAAGTCCTCAGTGCCCGCCTTAGGAATTTCAAGAGAACTCACCTGTTTACAGTGTAACTTAGTGGTGCTTGTCTACTGCCTCACTTCCCTTCTTCCTTCTTTCTTCACCTCCCTTGGTTGGTCCCTTTAAATCCCTTGGCTCAGCTCTGTGCAGTTTCCAGGCTACATCCCACTGAAAAAAGGATTAGCTCTTGTGATATCTCAACACTCAGGTATCATTCCCAGTTTTTTCTTTACATTCAGCCACTAGGCCAGTGTCTCATTATTTAAAGCAGAGTTTGACTCCTCAGTGACAACAACAGCTACAGCCCTGAATCATAACACAGGCTGAGACACAAACACGGATGGGAACTCTGAAGGATCCACTTTGTCCTGCTCACCAATCAAAAGGAGCTTTCCGAACTCAGCAATAATAGACCCCAGGTCCTTTTCCTGCAACTTTACCTGCTATAGATGCGACCCACAAGACCTGGGAAGGCCCTTCCCACTTCACCTGCAGGGGCTGGCAGTGCCACCACTCGACACGGACCCAGGGGCTGGGCAGGAACGGAGGGGCTGGGGCGTCCAATCCATCGGCCCAGGCGGCACCAGGAGTTCCTGCAGTTCCTGAGGGGAGAGCCTCAAGCCAACAAAGGAATATGGAGATCATTTTAAACTTCAATATGCATATCTCCTGGAATATGGGGACTTTGACAAGGCCTACTGGTGCAACAAGGACACACTCAAGGCTATCTATTAAAAGGATCTACTAGCACTCAAAAGCTGTCACTATCCTTCTTGCAGGGGCAACTCAGGAAACTCTCTTGGCCAAGAGCCTCCAGGAGGATTTCCAGCTTTTGGGGCTCTCTTTTACCCATTTTTCCCATCACTCTAGCTGGGACTATCACCTGCCCTACAGGGGGAACAGCCCACAAAGTTCACTTGCAGGGATGCCATTAACTCAAAGTCCCTTGTTGGGGGGGTCACTGCACACCTTGTCCTTTGTTTGCCCTCCCCACCAAAGATGCTTCCAACAGTTCTGAGAGATCTGGCAGACCCAGAGCTCTCCTCAGGGAATGCTTTAGCTGCTTAAAGGCTGCCCTTGCACCATCTAGCCAAGGCAGCAAATGCTTACAGGCTGTTCTTAAAAGCTGGTATAACAGTCTTACCACACATCCAGAGGGAGCAATCCAGATAGTCCACCCCATCCTACCATTCCCAGGAAGGCAGTTCATAGGTTGTCTGGGGCTAAGGGAGAAGTCAGGTGGCTTCTCTTCTTCCTTTCCCCTTTCCAGATTTTCTCCTTCAAAAGCAAAGGTTCTTGGCTTTCCTTGCTCAAGGAGATGCAGCAAAGGCCATCTTTTAAATCCAATACTGCAAACTCCTTGAGATTGTCATTCAAGGTAGTTCTCTCAGGTCCTGCACTCATCAGTCATCTTGGCCATTGGTTCCTTGGCAGGTTCTTGCATTCACGTCCTACAAGCAAACCAGGATGAGCCAATTTAGCTGTTACTGCAACCAATCCAAGCTGGCATTCTGATTTTCAAGGATACTGGCTTTGCCTTACCCATATAGATCCCACATTAGGGGTAATACCTACAGGTTCTGCCCTCTTCCACTCTCCTGGAACTCCACTGGCCCACACCACAGGAACAACTGCAGCTGCCACTTCAGTTGGGACCTTGCTGCTGACAGGAGTTATTCCCTGCACAGCAAGAGCTGCTGCTTTGACACATTTAGTTCCAGCAATTACAGTTTCAACATCCCCAGTTTTTAATTTCATTTCTGCCTCAACTTTTCCACTCAATCTCTTCCTAGCCCAGGTTTGGCTGAGTTTGGCAAAGAGACAAACTGAGGAATTCCCCAATGTTTTCCCAGTTTAACCCCTGTCACACCAGTCACCTTAACACTGCCAGCCCTTAATTCTCTCTCTATTGGGTTAAGGACTGAGGAAGTTGGACCTGGGTCTGAGCAGGACATGTGCAAACCAAATGCTGGGGACGGGAACACACACCTTGCACTCCTGCAGCTCTTACCATTGCATTCAAGAGAAAACAGCCAATTGGAACATCACTGCTCGATTCTTAATCCCAATCCCACACTTCCTTTGCACTTGGAGTACCACTTTTAGAACCCAATTACAGTCCAGTAGAGAGCTCCATGTCTAGCATGGACAGCTACACCTGGGATACTCTCAGCAATGCCTGAATCCAGTGCAGGGACCTTGCTTTGAACTCCCCAGGGCCGGGCACCCCGAGGATCTCCCCGAATAATCCTTTCGGTGCGCGCTGGAGTCCTCGGGGTGCCCCAACCCGGGGGGCACCAACAGCACTGTCCCTCCAGGGGGGCCCAATTTGGTCCCAAGGCTTCAATGGACAGCCCAAAAGGCATTTCAAGAGCCCTTCTTTGGAACCCACCAATGGGTACGGGTAGGAAGCCACAACAAGCCCTCATTTACAAATGCAGGGGGATCTTGCCTGTGTCCCAGACTGGTCCGGGGATCTGAGGCCCTTCCCGAGAAAATCTCGGTGCCGGCGTGAAGGCCCAGAGATCCCTTGGAGCCACGGGAGAGCAGGCACAGAGTCCCTCCTGCAGGGCCAATTCTGCTGCCTGAAAACAGCTCTTCAAAGAAACTTCTAAGACTCAGTTGGTGAGGTTTAGAAGCCAGGCATTCCTACACACTATGAGATATTTTAAAAGCTTACTGAGTGAAAAAACATCAAGCTTTTATCAGTGACATCTGATCTCAAACAGACAGCTCCTTTCTCCTTTCAGTACAAAATTATTTTCATGGAATCATTTAAGAGGAAGTGCCCAGGAACCCCAGACTGTGCTTTCCAGAACAGAAAATAAACAGAGGGAAGGAGCTTTGCACGAGTGTAACATACTCCAGAACACACCTGACTTTAGTTTTACTCTTGATGTTCAAATATAGCAGAAGACAAAAACTCCAGCAGGAGAGCTGGCACATTACCCATGGTACCCTGAAAGTCCACCTTAGGAGAGCTGGAGAAAAATCGCAGTTGTGCCAGTCCCTTTTGCCTGCAGATGCCTGGGGATCCTCTCCATCCACCTCATGCTCTCCCAACAGCAGAAAGGGTGACCTCGGGGACATGGTGGCACTCCACATCCTGCTGAGAGAGCAAGGAAACCTTTAGCAGAAAGGGGAGTTGGAATCTAAAACTTCCTTTCCTGGGAGCTTTGTGAAGCCTGCAACCAAGAGGGGGAAAATTTGCATCTCCTTTGGTGCAGGTGTCAACAGAGGCCAACAGAGCTTTCACCTTGTTCAGACAACTGGGCCCCTTTTGGCTCCCTGGCAGCTCCAATGGCACCAGAACCCCCTTCCAGCACACACACGGCTGTCACACACAGCCACCCACACACCTTTGCTCCAGCCCACACGTGGCCAACATTTCCTCACCCTGCACATCCCAAGGGCAGTAGTTTTGCTAGAGAGCACAGCAACCCCCCTGTCCTCACAAACTGCCTCCCTGCAAAAAAAGGAATCATTTCTCCTGGACACTTCGCCCACAGTCAAGGGCTTTTCAAACGTGCTCAGGGTCCCTCCCAGCTTCTGCCTGTCCTTGCATTTCAAGGCATGGGCATGTTTCAGCAGCAGAACCCAGCTCCTCACGGGCAGTATAAGCCCTGCTCTTACCTGGACAGACTCCCGGGCTCGGCACAGCTGTGGCTCATGGAGCAGCTTCCCAAGGCCCTTCTCTCTCCCAGCAGGAAGCACAACTCGCCTCCACTCCCCAGCACCAGGGGAAACCACGAGCCAGGCTGCAAATTGACACAGAACGAGCAAAAAGCATTAATGCAGCACCACAAAAAAACCAAGCTAAAGCAGTCTTGGCTTCGTAGCCCGGCACAGAGAAAGGCTTTGGAATTCCAAAGCGAAACTCGATCCACCCAGAGAGCACCAGCCCCGCAGTCCTGCCACGGCTCCCCCAGGCTCACCCGGCAGGGAAGGGGTTTACCCGGCTCCCGCTGCCCAGCACAACGCGCCCCTAAACGCCCCCCGGCTCCCCCGGCCCACAAACCCAGCGGCCAAGGCGCTCTCCCCTCCGCAGCCCGGGCAGCAGCGGGGCCGCACCCTCAGCCCTCACACACACAACCGGCCCCACCCCCCCCGCCGGCCCTTTATACCGCGGGCCGGCAGCGCTGCCCAATCAGCGCTCGAGCGCCGCCGCCCAATCCCAGCCCGCCGGTCCCCGCGGCCCCGCCCCGCCCGCTCCGCTCAGGGAGATCGGGAACTGGGGACAGGAACCTGCTGCTCGGGGAGACACCCTGGACATGGAATTGCACACGGGCACCTGAAGCCCAGGCGATTTGCTTGCCTTGGCAAGGCCCTGCGTTGCTCCCAGGCACAGGAAATCTCTGTTTCCCTGCCCAGCCCTGGAGACAGGTGGCCCCTAAAATCCCCGGCAATCAGGAAGCCCAGGCTGCAGGAGCTGGCAGGACCCAGTGGCCGTGTGTGCCGTGTGACACCGTGTCCTGCAGCCCCACGGACCTGCACAGCAGGGACAGGTCCTGGCAGCGTTTCAGTGCCGAGGCCAAAGCTGAGGCTCAGGGACAGCTGGGGCACGTGGCAGCTCTGGGAATCTCTGCCATGGATGTCTGGCCATTCCAGGACTGCCTGCTGGGCAAAGGAGCTTCTCTGCAGACTGTGGAACCAACAGGTCTCATGGACTGTAAGAAGCCAGAACTGCTGCAGGACTGTAGAGGAATCTGGGTCAGAAGAGACAGTCCAAGGTCTCTAAGTCTGACCTCCTGCTTAGGCCACAGTCACCAATGGGATCGGACCGGGCTGCTCAGGGAGGGATCCAGTCATGTTTTGAACCATTCCACGGATGGGGATACAACAACCTCCCCAGGCAACCCATTCCATGAGCGACTGCCCTGACAAAATACCTTCCCCTCCTATGCGGTTGGAAGCAACAGCTGGGCTGGCAGGAGCAGAACCTCCCTGCTGGGCCATTCCCCAGCAGCCCAAATGCCCTGTCCAGGGCTTGGTGCGGAGGCCTGGGCGGCTCATTCCTCCAGCTGGGCATTTTAGGAGCTGCCCTTGCCCCATCCCTGCCAAGTCCCTCTGGCAGTGGTGCAGCTCCTCAGCTGGAGTGCCTCTGAGGGACCCCCGGCCACGTTTCCCAGCAGCTGAAGGAAGGGAGG